ATAGCGTTTTGAAAAGCTCTTGACACCAGCTTAGATATTTTGGAATCAAAAATAGGGTGTTTTATTTAAAAAAACGAAGTTGACCTCCATATGACCTTGGCATGTACACCCTAGGTTAAACCAATGTCATCATCGGATGTCCGCCTCCAAACCCAACAACTTATGTCTGAAACATTTTTGCTAAAACCAATTTCTACTAAGTTGTTCACGTGAAGTTTTTAAAATGGGACACCCTGTATTTATTGCTTTATATACACATTTTTTTTTAAATATATGTATATTCTTAAAAGAGAAATGGAAAAGAAATATACATATATGTACATAAATTTTATATAGATATATGTATATAGATTTTAAAATCTATATGTATATTTCTTTTTCTATATTTCTCTTTTAAAAATATATATTTTAAGAAAAATGTGTATATAAAGCTGTATTTCATAATTTTAATTCAGCAGATAATATTTCATCTTTTATTCAAGATTTATATTTCATATTATAATGTTAATAATTTTGTTAAATAATAATTATATTAATATAACATTATCTGCAGAACTAAATATACAAATATTTTTAATATTAACTTAATATATGCTACTTACGTTATCTGTCATTTTGCTGGTTAGTGATGTTTCTATTTAGATATTTTATCACTAGTTACTTTTCTTATACTGTAATTGGTCGATACCGCTAATTCCACTCGTTCCTCTCGTTCCGCTTTTTACTCACCAGAACGTGTGAAAAGCTAATTCCACACGAAATCCATAATAGCGCAAACGCATGAGCGGATTTGCTGTCGGAAACTCGCCAGTCGGAATCTCGCGTTTCCGATCGAAATTGTAAAAAGTTCCATAATAGGTGCCCTGGCCTATTCGCCAGATATAGCGCCAAGTGATTATCACTTGTTCCGGTCGATGCAAAACGCATTGCCTGAGGTTCGTTTCCGGAATATTGAAGAAGTGCGAAAATGGGTCAACGATTTTATTAAATCAAAAGACGAAACTTTCTTCACTGTCGGAATTCGTAAGCTGCCCAAAAGATGGCGCAAGGTCATAGATAATAACGGAGAATATTTTGATACTTAAATGTATTATTGAATTTCTGCAAAAAAATCTTGAATTTTCAAAAAAACGGTTTAAAACTTATTTGTACCTCTAATATTAAATAAAGGAGGACTTCTGTTTCCGGTGCAATAGAGTGAGACACGTGGAGTTGTAAGAAAACTTCCAGAATCGAACGCGGAAGAGCGCCACCTTCTGGCAGCTCGAAAAACGCTTGGCGTTTATATACATAATTTCTGTAATTTTCTTGCAAATTACATTGCTATGAGTACTTAAAAATACTGAATTATTAGAGTAGAATATATTTTGTAACTATATTTCCGTTCCGTTTTTGCTTCATGGGACTGGTAGAGAAATTTTTTACGGAACGGAACGGACACATGTGTGAAGAAACGTAAACTATATTTTGTAACAGACAGTTTTATATTAGACAGTTTTAACCTCAATGCAATTAAAAATATCCTAAATTCATAAAGATGGATGAAAAAACAGTTTTATTAATCATATTAAAAATACTGCAAACAGCGAAAAATTTGCCAACTTGATATGCTGTATCGGTATTTGAGAGAGTGCGAAAGTTGTATTTAAGTTATATTGGGCTTGTTCGTTTTAGCTACACTGGGGCTGCTCTGGGTCTGCTCTACACAGGATAATACAGGACAGATAAATAGTTTGTCCTGT